ATTTTCTCCAACCACAGACTCCCAATGTCCTCTAAATATCTTCCTTCCTCAGCTCTCATTACATTTCAGAGCTGTCTAGTCATTGTGTGTGATAATAACTCAGTTTGGATGACTCCAGGTTTAAACACAACCTAAATGTCACGGAATACCCCTGTCTTCCCTGTGCCCAGGCTAGCCAGGTCTGAACTTAAACATTTCATTGTTTTCACAAAGGAATGGTTGAACTGGCACATGCCCTCTGTAGATAAGCCCTGTTCACTGATCACAGTGTTTACTTCCTCCTAAAATTCCGTTGAAATGCCCCTGAAATATTTCTGAAAGATAAAAATTCATTGGAGCAAACTAATGGAAAAAGCAGGTTAGAGGAAATACAAACCACACTATACACAATAAAAGTTTACCATTAAGGTGGAAAAAAACGTTCTTTCTAATAAAGCATGGCAGAAATTCTTAATCCCAGAAAAAGCAAACGAAGAATGAGGACAGGGGGACTTTCCAGGTGGTCCCGTGGTTAAGTGTCTGCCTTGCAATGTAGGGGACGTGAATTTGATCCCTGGTCAGGAAACTGAGATCCCACGTGCTACACAGCAATTAAGCCAGCACACCCTAACGACCGAGCCCGTGTGCTCTGGATTCTGAGCACTGCAATAAAAGATCCCACGTGATGGAATAAAGATCCTGCCTCAGCTAAGCCTGGATGCAGCCAAAGAAACAAAATGTATTTTTTTTAAATGAATAAGAACAAAAAAATCATAAAACAATGCTTGAGACATTTTATTCTAAGCAAAAGGGTCTAAACTTGAAATGCAAGTGCCTATCAAGTTTAAAGAAGGAAAACAGAATAAATACAGGCACTAAATATGGACAAGTGTAAAGAGAAATTCTTAAAAGTTCCTGGGAACAGAGACCAGAGGGAACAGGTTTATGAAAGTGATGTGAATATCATACTGGGATCAAAATTCTCATCAGTACACTAGGTCCAAGAAAGCAATGGAGTCATGTTTTTTAAGTTATCAGAGAATTTATTTTTGAAACCATCATTCTAGTTAAAATTAAAATAATGATTGAAATCCTATAAAATTCTTTAAAGCTAGTTTGGAATTAAGAACATTAATTCTAATTGCATGTATATATAGTATGCATTTCTATGTACTATACATCAATATATTATAACAAATATTTTATTAAACTGAATCATAATTAATACAATATATGCTTGTCTAATTCAAATATGTAATTTGCATAAGTATAAAACAGAGCTACAAATAGATGGTCATGGATCATTAGAAGCAGGCAAGCCACAAATAAGCAAGCAGAGGTGGGGCAATTCTTAGCAAGAAGAGGCTGTGCCAAGACCTAAGGAAGGAGCAGATGGACTGGCTGTTCCAGCAGGACCAGATCCAGCCAGACATTCCCTGGGTGGCAGCTAGCCCCACTCTGCGAATTCATGAGACTCTGGGTATCTGGCCTTGCTCAGGTCACTTAAACTTCAGCCTGCATTTAAAAAATGATGGTTCAAACCCAAACTCAATCAACAAATAAGAATAAACAAATTGTGGCCAACCCACACAGTGCAACACTACTCAGTCAGTCTCAAAGTCACAAAGAAAAAGGAACTAGATGCTGATTCATGCTTTGACGAGGCTTATTCTCCAAATTACTAAACACACTGAAATAATTCAGACAAAAATAAGTGTATATAATGTATGCTTGCATTTATATAAAATGCTAGAAAGTACAAACTAGTATAGAGTGACATGAAATTCAACAGTGGCTACCTGGGGACAGAAGGGGGCTGAGTTTGTAGGGATGAACAAGAAGGACATTACTAAAGATATGAAGAAACTTTCGGAGTAATAAACAAGCTTAGTCTTGATTTTGGTGTTAAATTTGCAGGTGTCTACAAATGTCAAAACTCATCAAATTGTATATCATTTGTATGTGTAGTTTATGGCTATTATGCATATGTGTGTTATGAAAATATTAAAATTTGAGTTCCTCTATTAAAAAGTAAAAGGTAATGGTTCAGAATAGATCATCTCAAAGTTACCTTCAGTTTTAGTGTTTTGTACATTTGTCGCCGAGGGCCAATGATTGGATGGTCAAGAAAAACTGGCTAATGTGATGTTCTTGGTCTGGGAATTTTTCTGGCCCTGAATTCATCTACCAAAGTCTGACCGAGAGGGATGCTCTTTCCAGGGGATGATCCCAAGAACCACAAAATAAGTGTGTGTAGAGTCTGCAATTTTGATATTACTATAAGCACTATGATACATAAGAGATTTATGTGGTTGTGGATGGCAGGTATTCTTTCCTTCTTGAGTTCCCTCAAGGTTACCAGCTCGCTCTCCGTGGTGGCTGCAATTGGTGATGATCATAACCTCCACTGTTAACTGATATGGCAGAAAATATTCCATTTCTTGCTTTTAATAATTTGATTTCAGTGGGTGGGCCACATCAGGGGAGGAGGAGTTACTACTTACTTCACTTTCTGACTCCCTGAACATGAACACTGACCCCTATTGTTTAACAAATATGCCACTTTGGGCATAAGACTCATCTCTCTTTGCCTCAGGTCCCACATTTGTGACCTAGAAGTAATAATAATTTGATATAGTCATAATATTTCCTCTCACAGAGTGTTGTTGCAAAGACTGAATAGGGTAGGTAAGATGGTCCCAAGCAAAGGATGAGTCTGTAACAAAGCATTCTTAGGTTTGCATACCAGAAGCACTCAATAAATGTTCACTGAAGCAAAGGCAAGTGGACAAATCCCACATGAGTGCAGTAATTCATAGAAGAGAGAAATGAGGCCTAGAGTGTGTTCTTTTATAAAAAACGTTCAGAAATATTTTAAAAAATAAACTAATACGTAGTTCTAGGAAACAAAGTGGTAAAATTGAATGATTTGTCTAGCATATGTTAAAGGTTACTGAAAAAGGAAAAATAAGCGCAAATGTATTAAACTAGATGTTAGAAGTACTTATTTGAATCCAGAAGCTTTATGGTATTCAACAGACTTTTAAACACTTTGATTTTAGCTTTTTCATGTTTAGAATCAGGAAGTATGACTCCCTATAGCCGTGGCACAGGATTAGAGAAAGTTACTACATTGAAAGCACTAAATCAAAATAAACTGATGATTTTCAGTGTCGGAACTGAAGAACTGTGGGTAAACTAAATACTAAGCAGTTAAAAGTACCTTTAAATCATCTTTAATCACCAAATGAAGATGAAAGAACTTCAATAAAGTATAGTATAATGTAATCAGAAATAATTCAGTATCTCAGGAAAGGTTTATTGATTTAAAGCATATGTCTAATAATAGAAATGATGTGCTAATATATGACTAAGGTATATCAAGCAAGAAAGTAGAAAAAAAAGTCAGAATATATTGATGTGAATCCACTCGTGCTCAGGAGATATGATGCTCTAATTTTTAGATCTTGATGTCTAATTACAACAAAAGTAAAAATGTTTGTTGTTGTTTTAATTGCTAAATCAAATATGACTCTTTTTTTAACTCCATTGTACTGTAACTCACCAGGCTCCTCTGTCCATGGGATTTCCGAGGCAAGACTATTGGAGTGGGTTGCCATTTCCTTCATTAGGGGAGCTTCCCAACCCAGGGATCAAACCCATGTCCCCTGCATTGGCAGGCAGATCCTTTACCACTGAGCCACCAGGGAAAGATAGAATAGAAGCAAGCAATTTATGTAAAAAATTTTTAAATTTATTTTTAAAAACCCAGATGTATAGCATCCTCCAATCTTTGTAACAAAAACAAGGCTTCATTTCTGAAAAGCTGGCTGGCTTTTATCCAATGTGAGTTGCTTAACTCATTCAGTTTCAAATTTGTGAGGCATGTAAAATGTGTTTATCAGCCTCTGTCTGTCATCCTTTTATGCCCTTCACTTCAGTGTTCTATTTTTTTGAATACATTTTTAATCTGGGCTTTTTTGTGTATCATTGAAAACCCTTATAAATAATTTCTCAAACAATGCAAAAGTGAACAAAATTGTAAGTTAATTTAAGATAAAGTACAATAATGAGTGACAATCTTAAAAAACTCATGCATGGTCTAAACATATGTTAACTAGTAAAATTTCTAAACTCAAGTGAAATTTTATGAGCAGAGGATCACCAGGAAGAAGCCCACTCAACAAACGAATGCTAATTATGACATCAATTATCTTTCCCATAGTGAATAATTCAGCTGATACATGTGTGGGTGTGAGTCGCTCAGTCATGTCCGACTCTTTGCGATCCCACGGATNAAATCTGAACCCATGACAGTGAGGAGTCACTACTTTGCCCTCCCTGAGCCAGGATGTCTCTGAGTATTCCCCAGCTGCATGTACATTTTAAAGGAAAAGTATTACAACCACAAAAATAAAAAGAGAATTAGTAACCAAGGTCTGAACTATTATAAAGCAATAAAGGGAGGATTTAGAATAATAAAGACATAGTAGTTGGTTTTTTTTTTTTTTCTATGCATTCTTTTCGGCTTCTCTGATAGCTCAGTTGGTAAAGAATCTGCAATGCAGGAGACCCCAGTTCGATTCCTGGGTAGGGAAGATCCACTGGAGAAGGGATAGGCTACCCACTTCAGTATTTTGACCTGTAGAGTTTGGGATGGCAAAGAGTCAGACACGACCAAACGACTTTCACTTCCTTTATATATTCTTTTAAATTTTCTCAAGAATGCTACAAAGGAGAGGTTATTAACTAGAGACATACAGTGATGTTCAGAGAGTGGAAGCAGCCCAAGATTGGTGTTAAATTGCCATGTTTCTGGCTCCAAGGTCATGCTGTTTCCATTACATACAGGGTTTTATGCTGTATACCAAAGGATGATGAAACTGAATTTAAGTGTTTGGGTCAAATTTGAAGCATAATTTATTTTACATTAGAAGACCTTAAACACATATGACTAAATTTTCTACCCAGCATGTGTTCACTGTGAATCTACTATCAATTCCTCCATCTAAAATGTAGACTTACCCAGAAAATAAATTTACTGTTGAGGAATTCTCTCGCAAGACTTTGCCAGTGACAATGAGTTTGATGGCTTTTCGAAACCAGGGATAAAAGAAACCATAAATCAAAGGGTTCATAGCTGAGTTATAATAAGCAATCCAAACCAGGATTTCATAAACATACGTGGGAGTGATGAAACCTAGGAAGGCGTCAATGATGGAGTCCAGGAAGTAAGGCAGCCAGGAGATCAGAAACGCTAGCACTGCGACGCCCAGCGTTCTTGCGGCCTTCCTCTCCCTCCTGGCCACTCTGTCTTGGTATCTGTCTGAGCATCGCCCAGTCTTATTGCTCAGACTCTCAATTTGTCTAGCCTGGTGTTTAGCAATGAGGAAAATCTTGGAGTAAAGAACTATCATCACAAGGGTGGGGATGAAAAATAATAGAAAATTCACCAATACCCAACTCTGATTCACTGCAATTTGACAGCCTCCCACACAGGTGAGAGCACTTACTAGATCCTCCAGGCCAGCTGCATTTGCTCCTGTGCCAAACCCACCAAGAAGTCTGCACAGGCCAGAGAGGCGATCAAGAAGTTGGTAGGAGAATGCAGCTGCTTGAAGTGGAGAATTGCAATCATCACCAGGAGATTTCCAAATACAGTCAGCACAGCTCCAAAGATGAACACGGTGTAGAGGATGAGGCGGGGACCCGGTGAGTAGGGGGTTTTCACACAGGATCCGTTCAGGTGCTCGTAGCAGAGCGGCACAGCCGCAGCAGAAGGAGACGCACTGCTCATGATTCTCTGATTTGATACCTGGAAACCTGTCACCCTCTGTGGCCCAGGATGTCATTCCTGATTTTGAAATGTCCTTAAAGAAAAGATAAATACAATGTAGTAGTTGCCAGTGCATTCTGTCTTTGCTTCCTTGTAAGTGCAAATCGTTACTTACATGTTTAGAAGGTAATTCATATCCTCATCTTGTAAAATGATTCACCTCTAAATGTATAAGCAGTTAATTTTCATTGTTACGTAAAATGCTGTTTACTTAAATTTTTAAAAAACTTCCTGCATTACCTAGTTCTTCATTTCAGAGGAGAGTTTGTCTTCAAGAAGCTATTACATGAGGCATGTCTGAATGCCACATGTTATTAGCACTATTTCCCTAATTTATCAGAGCAATGATAATGCCCCAAACACTCTCTCCCCTCAGGAACATAGTTCCATAATTTCAATCCCCAAAGCTCTTAAGACTGAATCCCCACAAGTGCAAGGTGTTTAGAAAGAATTAAATAACATTTTTATGTTTATGCTAAACTAAGTTTATGTCCTATAATTTCCCGATGTCATTTGACCTTTGCATGAAACATAACTACCTATCCTTTAACACCTTTGAGCAGAAATTGAAAGTCATATTATTTATTGTTATTAGTTATTGCCTTTTCATTTTTATTAGAATCATTTGTTTACAATTTCTGTGTTGAATTTCACTAGAACTCTTTCAAATAAGTCCTTTCTCTCTTCCAGTGTCAGTTTGTGTTAAAGAAAAAAATTACATAGAATCATATATTAAACAGTTGAATGCTTCAGGTTTGACTTTAATAATTCAGATTTGGAAAAGTGGAGGAGTAGTGGGCAAAGTCTTTGCCTCATGAAACAACCAAGGAAGTACAAATACAAATAAAACATTGTTCCTGCTGATGGTCTTCTTGTTGTAATGGGAACAGTGTGGAAGATACTTTAAAAAATAAATTGCTGAAAGAACTTTTGGAGTGTGAGCATTCCTATATTATACTCCAGATTTTACCACAGACACATTTCCATTTCTCCTTAGTATTCTAGAATAGATGAGCTGATGTTTCAAAAAAATGTTTTCTGATGAGTGACTGTGTGGTGTGCTCAGCGCTCAGTCATGTTCAGCTCTTTGCGACCCCATGGACTGGAGTCTACCAAGCTCCTCCGTCCATGACATTTCACAGGCAACAATACTGGAGCAGATTGCTATTTCCTACTCCAGGGGATTTTCCCAACCCAGGGATCAAACCCATGTCTCTTGCCTATCCTGCATTGACAGGCAGATTCTTTACCACTGTGTCACCTGGGGAGCCCTCAATTACTTCTACTTATGTTGAAAAAAATCAGCTTTTTAATATTGAGGCACAAAATAAATTTGAAAAGTTTACATTTTTAGTATGTACAGACTGACGACATGATAAATGTATCCACTCTTGTATTCACCACCACAACCAAGAAAGGAAGCAACAGCCTGTACGTCTCCTCAGGCCCTTTTATACTTAATCTAACCCCACATTTCCCTTCTCCTATCCTGGGGAACCACTGGTCTCCCTTCTGTGGCCAGGGATTAATTTCTGTGGCCTAAAAACCTTGTGTCAAATGGTCACAGTTTGTCTTCTTCTGTGTCTGGCTTATTTTATTCAGCTCAGCGTCTGTGAGTTTCACCCATGTCTGAGAACATTTGCAGCTCATTCCTCGTTATTGCTAAATGGAATTCCATTGTCTGAATTCAATTGCCTTCCAGTTATTTTATCCATATACGAGTTGATAAATATTTAGACTGTTCATCTTGGGGCTGTCATATTGGGAAGTGTATGTTTAACTCCGTAAGGAAGTACACATTTTCTAGGGTAGTTGGATCATTTTATGCTCTCACCAGCAAGCTATGAGTGTTTCAGTTTGCACCAAATCTTTGTTTCCTCCTGGTGGACTGCCTATCACCTTATAGGATTTTTTACTAAATTAGAGCTTATCCATTATGCTTTATGTTACTTCTCTATGTGAGAGGCTAACATGTGGACAAGTAATGACAGCTCAATGTGGTGATGGCTCCGATGAACACAGTGCAGTGGGGGTCACCACAATGAAGCAAGGGAACTGTATCCACAGGTAATTTTACCAAGAAGGTAACTTTATTTTATTTTTTTTTAAGAAGGTAACTTTAAATATAGGTCGAGAGGATCGAGGAGATATGTAAGGTAAAAACAGACAGGGCTTTCCCAGGCAGAGAGAGGTGTGTGTTGAGGCTGGGAGATGTGGGCTGGATGCATCCGCACGGCTGAGAGCATCAGCAGGGCTGAGAGCATCAGCAAGGCTGAGAGCGGCGGTGGCGCAGGCGCAGTGTGGGGGCGGCGTGCGCTCCAGGAGCCCTGCGCACAACCTGACCTCATCCGCCTCGTTTCCATGAGCTGTTTGGATTTCTGCAGAGGTCAGAGGGCAGAAGGGGCGAGGACATGTCACCCGTGGTGACAGATACAAATCTTCACTCCACCTGCTCAGGGATGCTAGATAGGATTTATTTTTCTGCAATACTTTTAAATCTACCTAGAGCCTCACATTGCACCAGGTACAAGAAAAAAATCTCAATAAATATAGGGGTCTGCCCCTTTATCCCCAGAGTGGCATCCGTGTTCAGAGAGCTCCGTCTCACAGTATCTGTGGGTGTTCTTTGAGGTCTGTCTACTGAGGTATGCGTTTTCCTACCTCTAAGGAGCTGACTTGGCAGCATCTCTGCCTTCCCTGAGGCGTAGGGCTCCTCCCAGCCACGCTGGGAGGTTATGTCGTCTCTCAAAAGCATGTGCATCTATTCAACACATCTACTGTGCGTGTTTATCACTTTTCAAAAATGACCTAAAGAGTAGAAATAAAGCACAAGTGGAACGTAGAAACATAATTCTTGGTAGCTTCCATCGCTTTTGAGTACAGCACATAATTAATATAGAGAAGAAGAGTCGGAGCGTTAAAGATACATTGAAAGAAACCATTAAAAATACTTTAAAAATATTAAGATATAAATCCTGAGATACTTAAATCTCTTTAAGATGCAGTTTCTAAAATACACCAATACACCTACAATTTAGTTTCATTAGGTAATACAAAAATATACCAAAGATATATGCTCAAATATTAGTCCACCAAAATAAAACAAGCAATCATACAGATAAAACTAACTTCAATGCTTAGATAAAAATAGAGATGTGCATTGTTAACATCAATTTTAATATATTTATTTTATCACAAACATTAACATTTTAAAGATAAATTGCAAAGTAAATCCCCCTATACACAGACACTATTATACACAAAGGTACATTTTGTAAAAGTGTAATATGGGCGCTTATTATACGTTGCTTTATAATTTAGGTCAGATTTTTTGCTTTTGTTTTCTTTTGATTTTAGTCAAACAAGTATATTGAGATTTTCTTTCCTTGTCAGTTGCTATTTTTAATGGTCACTTGTGCTTTTTAATGGTTTCATAACATCTCATTTCAAAGGTAGAGCATAATTTATTTAATTTACACCATATGAATCCTAGTTTATTGTAACTAATAATTGAGAGATATACAATGAATGTCCTTGTCACATTTCTTTTGCCTGACTCTCTTCATATGCTTGCTTGCCAGAAACTACAGAGTCATGTGACATGTGTGATTTGAAATTTTACATAAATATCTTAATTCCCCTCTAAGAGAAAGTGCTAAATTATGTTTTCCCTAGTTGTTTATGAAAGCACTCAACTTTCAGCAGCGTACTCAACTTCTCACACTCTAATCTGATATTAATGATCTAATGTCAAATATGAGATACAAAACTATAATATTTTAATTAATTTTAAAATTATGTGTACATTTGACATTTTAATGTATTTATTAACCATACCTCTGTAAAATTTCCTGTTTCTGTTTAGTGGGATATTCAACTCCATCTTAATGTTCTGTAAATTCTTTTTATATTTTTGAATCTACTAATTCTTCATCCTGTTTGCTGCCAATAGCTTTTCCAAGTTTGTTTATTTTTCTTTAACGTGACTTTCTTTCACTTTGAAGTTGAAAAATTTAAATTTAGTGCATGAATCTATATGGATATGCTGTCATGATTCCACCAATAAATTATAAAAACTATATTTTCTTCTAGTTTTTTAATACCTGGAATAAATCAGTTTTGATTTTGTAAAATACATGAAGCAAGATCGTTAAGTTTTTCAAAAAGTTTTATACCACATTAACATTTCTAAACTATCCATTTTTCAATAACATAAATAATAGTGTTATTTTTATCATGAATAGCTATAAACTCCAAATAGTACTTATAGGGGGAAAAATAAAAGACAAGCCCTCCATCATGAGCTGGAAGGTTAAAGCAACAAACTTCATGAAAGGAGAAAATTGTTACATAAAAAAAACTACTATTGCAGTAAACATATCACTCATAGTTATACCTACCTTTACAAAATATCTCCTAAAATATAAAATGTTAATCTCATCCTGGATCTGTAATAGCTGATGGATATGACTCAGAGATCTTTAGGAGCTCCAGAAAGACTGGCCCCCAAGAATCAATTTGCTAAAAATAAAAGCAAACTAAACTGAGTCCTGGGGTTGCAGAGAGTCGGACAGGACTGAGCAACTGAACTGGACTGAGACTGAGTCCACAGAAAGACATTAACAGACAACTTGGAAGAAACATTTGAAAATGAAAAAAGAAAAAGTTAAGCTTGGTAGGAAAGGTAGAAGAATAACAGGGACTTAAAGAGAAAAGTAACAACTGACAGAGCAGGACAGTGTAAAGATGTGAGGAAACTAGAAATCATGACCACTGTGTCAACCAGTACTAAATAATATGTTTTTATCAAATGCTCAAAGGATACTCACTTCTCAAAAAATAACAGTGTAAGACTGATGCTGCTGAAATTGAGGTACTGTTTTTTCTTCCCAATTTAGTGGATCATTTTCAAGCACTATATTTCATGTAACAATTATTCAGAAATTTTCAATATATCACCATATCACTATTAAATTTTTCAAATCATCAATATGAAATTTGTTTTAGAATTTAGTTTTGATTAATCAAATGTCCTTTAATATTTCCAGTTTAATAAGTTTTATTACTCTCTTAAACCAAAGTAAAATGAGGCATAAATCAAAGGATTTGGAGCCAGTTATAGTAACTGAATGAGCAAAATATCTCATAAGCATATTAAATGCTATAAAACTCAAAAAAAAAAATCAATGAATGAATCAATTACATTGAAAAATCGTGAGACCAAAAATATGAAGCTATGATGTCCAGGGTTTTAGCCGCTTTTCTCTGTCTCTTAGCCACTCGGTTCTTGCAATTCCCTGGCAACAATTTTACTTTCTAGTAATGTTTAAATCCTTTTAATCTGTTTTCTAATCACAAGAATAGTGTTTCTGTACCGAAGAATCTTAACAAAGCCAGGTGTGAAAAACAATAGGAATCTTACCAATATGCCGAACTGATTTAAACAAGTTGACAATCACTTATCAAGCAGAGGGCAGTTACTTATCCCTCCATCCTATCATCTTGGGTATCTGTGTACAGTTTGGCACCACTGTAGGCCAGAGACAGGATGCAAAAGTTGCTGAAGTCAATTCTCAGACAGACACCAGTGCAGACCTTGAGCATAATAGATTTAACTGAAACCCAAAGTTTCCTGGGAAAATGAGCAAAGCAGAAAAGGAAAAAGAAAAGGCAACCACCTTGAGAAAGTTAATCACAGAGAAATTTCTGAGGAGTTGGAAATAAGTACCACTTTGTAAGGAAAGACAAAGGAAATCAGAGACAACTGAAATGTTTACAGGGTACAAAAGGAATGGTTAATGGAATAAAAAAGTGTGTGGAGGGGGAGTGGACTCTTCTGCAGAGAGTGGGGTATGGTGAGTTCTGCAGTAGTTAACAAATAAGGGAGTTAACATTTATTAGTCAAATAAATATTTTTGGAGAAGCAAAGGGAAGTACACATCCTAACAAGACTGAAATACAAGGGTTTATCCAGTTAAATTGAAAAAGCAATTTGTTTTCTTTCATGAAAAATCTTACTTGATTTTTTAAAACTCATTTCATTTGGAAAAGGTAAAGATATCTTCAGCCTCCTCGACCCAATGGCTTACATTTATTCAGAGAACAAATTCATGCTCCCAGAACTATCCTTGAAAACCTGACCACTCACAATAACTTTGATGGCTTTCCTAAACCAAGGGTAAAATAAAGCATAGATCAAAGGGTTCATGGCTGAGTTGTAATAAGCACACCAACAGCAAATCTCATAAATATAGGCCGGGGTTATGAAGCCCATAAAGGCATCAATTAATGAGTCAATGCTGTATGGTAACCACGAAATCATGAATGCTATGACCGTGATACCCAGGGTTTTAGCTGCTTTTCTCTCTCTCTTGGCCACTCTGGATTTGTAACTGTCTGATGATGACTCTGTTTTGCTACTAGTATTTTCAATTTTTTTAGCCTGTTGTCTGGCCACAAGAAAAATATTACTGTAGAGAATTATCATAACAAGGGTAGGTATAAAGAAGGACAGAAAATCTATCAACACCCAGTTTTGATTTACAACTATCTGACAGCCTCCTACACAGTTGAGGGCCCTAGACAATTCCTCAAGCCCATTCTCATGGGCACCTGTGTAGAACACGGCACCACTGTAAGTGATGGGCAGGATCCAGGAGATGCTGATGCAGACCCCTGACACAGACACCGTGAACTTGGTGGGATAGACCAGGGGGTCAGTCACAGCAATGTACCTGTCGATGGAGATGAAGGACAGGTGGAAGAGAGAAGAGTAACAAAATGCTGTGTCAAAGCAGGTGTGAAAAGTGCAGAAAGTTCGCCCAAAGTACCAGCAGCTCTCCACGGACCTGACCATGCTGAAGGGCATCACAGTCACTCCCACTAGAAAGTCTGCACAGGCCAGAGAGGCGATGAGAAAATTGGTTGGGGAGTGCAGCTGCTTGAAATGCAGGATGGCAGTCATCACCAGGAGGTTTCCAAACACGGCCAGCACAGCCCCAAAGCCATACACCATGTAGAGAATCAGGCGGGACGCGGGTGAGTAGGGGGTTTTCACACAGGATCCGTTCAGGTGCTCGTAGCAGAGTGGCACAGCTGTGGTGGGGGCCGAGTTGCTGCTCATGATCTGTCCTTTACACTCAGAGAATTCTGTCCTTGATTTTCATGAAGAATATAGGATTCTGATTTTCAATACACCTAGGGGAAAAACAAACATCCACTAGGATATCTGAGGAAATTATCAGATATTGTTACAATTATATTTTTTCCTTATAAGTCTCAAATGTGTTTAATAACAAAATGAATCACAAAAATTACACTGAATGATAACATTGGAATTAATTTCAACTAATTCTTCGTTCCCTGAATTTGATAAAATTTTTTTTATTCATAAATATTTTCCTTTTTTTTTTTACCTCCAGAGTTCCTCTTTGCAACAAGCAGTGATATGGGAAGTAATTACAGAGTGAATCATCTCCTGCTAGGTTTATCTGCATTATTGCCTAAAGCACACAATCCTTCCTGATATATAAACGCTATCTATAAGAGAATCCCTAGATGGAATCCCTGTAGTGCAAGGTGTGAACTTGGAAGATTATTTGCAAGAGTGATTATTAAGAAAGTTATTCTTTAAAAGAGTTCCTCACATTAAGTTACCCATTATGTTTCTTTGGCCAAAGGCTTTTTTTATTCTTAGACTTAAACCTTTTGCCAATTCTCAATCCTGTTGTGGACACTTAACTGTATTTTAGCTAAAAAGAT